AAGTTTCAGAGTCTCTTCTGACATCCACTTCGGTCTTTTCTTTCTTTGCAGTCTTTTTAACGATTTCTTACTTTCTTCACGTATGATGTCCTTGATGTCATTTCACAACTCTTCTGGTCTTTGGTCATTAATATTCAATGCATTAAATGTATTCTTGAGACAGTGTTTAAATTCAGTTGGGATACACTCAAGCTTGTACTTTGGCTCTCATGAAATTGTAATTTTCTTCGGCTTCAATTTGAACTGACATATGAGCAATTGATGGTCTGTTCCACAGTCGACCCCTGGCTGATTGATGGTATTGAGTTTTTACATAGTCTCTTTCCCCAGATGTAGTCAGTTTGATTCCTATTTATTCCATTCAGCAATGTCCATGTGTATAGTCGCTGTTTATGTTGTAAAAAGGTATCTGCAATGATGAAGTCGTTGGTCTTGCAAAAGTTTATCATGTGATCTCCGGCATCATTTCTATCACCAAGACCATATTTTCCAACTACCAATGCTTCTTCTTTGTTTCCAACTTTCAAATTCCAATCACCAGTAATTATCAATGCATCCTGATTGCATGTTTGATCAATTTCAGACTGCAGAACTTGGTGAAAATCTTCAATTTATTCATCTTTCACCTTAGTGGTTGGTGGGTAAATTTGAATAACAGTCATATTAACTTGTCTTCCTTGTAGGCGTATGGATATTATCCTATCGCTGACAGCTTAGTACTTCATTTTTAAATATTCTTTTTGACGATGAATGCAAATGTCATTCCTCTTCGATTTATCATTCCTGGCATAGTAGACCATATGCTGTGTTCAGTTTAAAATGGCATCTGTCAGTTTGTCGTACTGTGGGGGCTTTTGTGTTGATGTGATGCTGGAAGCTATGTCACTGGTATTCAAATATTAATGGGGTCATCCGTGGTGGAAATGTTTCAGTTGAACTTCCAGACTAAGATGGACTAGGAAGAAGGGCTTGGTGGTCTACTTCTGAAAAAAATTAGCTAGTGAAAACCTTATGAATAGCAGTGGAACATTGTCTTATATAGTTCCAGAAGATGAGCCCCTCAGGTTGTAAGACACTCCAAATATGAGTGGGAAAGAGCTGCCTTTCAAAGTAGAGTTGACTTTAATGATGTTGACGGAATTAAGCCTTTGGGACCTTCATTTACTGATGTGGTATGACTCAAAATGAGAAGAAACAGCTGCAAGCGTCCATTAATAATGGGAACATGGAATATAAGAAGAACGAATCTAGGAAAATTTTAAGTTGTTAAAAACAAAACAGAACGCTCAAACATCAATATCCTAGGCATTAGTGAGCTGAAATGGACTGGTATTGGCCATTTTGAATTGGACAAACATATGGTCTACTATCCAGGGAATGATAAAATGAAGTTTTCAGGAAAGAAATACAAATTATAGAAAGGAACAAAATAGAAATATTGAAGCTAAAATTTACAATAACTGAAATGAAAAATTCAAGGAAGTTCAACAGCAGATTTGAACAGGTAAAGAATCAGTGAACTTGATAATATTACAATTGTAATAGTCCGGTTTGAAGTACACAAAGAAAAAAGAATAAAGAAAAGTGGGAAGACAGAAGGTACATGTGGAATACCACCAGTCTACATTATGGGAGTCCCAGAAGGAAAATAGAAGGAGGAAGAAAGAATATTGAAAGAAAAATTGTCCAAAACTTCCCAAATTGTATGAAATACATGAATCTAAGCATCTAAAACATGAACTTCAAGTGGAATAAACCCAAAGAAATTCACATTGAGACACATTATAATCAAACTCTCAAAAAAACAAAGATAAACAGAGAATCTTGAAGGCAGCAGAAGAGAAACAAATCATAATATACAAGAGATCATCAATAAGATAAAGAGCTTATTTCTCCTCAGAAAACATGGAGGTCAGAAGACAGTGATATGACATATTGAAAGAGCTGAATGAAAAGAACTGTCAACCAAGAATTCTTTATTTGGCAAAACTGTCCTTCAAAATTGGGTGTTCACTTAAGACATTCCCAGATAAAAAAATAAGCCAAGGGAATTTACTATCACCATATCTTCCCTAAGAAATGCTAAAGGAAGTCCTTCAGGTTTACATGAAAGGACACTAGAAAATAACTCAAAGCTGTATGAGAAAATAAAGATATCCAGTAAAGGTAATTTCATAGGTAAAAATAAAAGGCAGTTTTACTTTGATTTTATTTTGTAACTCTATTTGCTATGTACTATGTGATATAAAAGACAAAGTGATAAAATAATTTTAAAAAATTATGTTATTTGGAACACAATGTATTCAAACGTCACTTGTGATATCAACAACACAATGAGGGTTACATAGCTCTGTAGGAACAGAATTTTTGTTTGCTACTAAAGTTAAGTTGGTATCAATCCAAACTAGGTTAAAATAAATTTATAATGGTAAAAGTAATACCCATGATAATCACAAAGAATGAATCTAAAAAATATACTCAAAAAGAAAGTGGATAGATTTCAAAATGATTCACTAAAGAAATCAACTAAACATAAAGGAAGATGGTATAGAAGTAAATGAGGGACAAATAAAGTGTAAGACACACGGAAAATAAATACCATACTGGCAGAAGTGAGTTCTTCCTTATCAGAAATTATTTTATATAAATGGATTAACTCACCAATTAAACGGTAGAGATTGGTAGAATGGAAAATAAAACATCAACCAAATGTATGATGTTTCTGAGATACCAACTTTAGATCCAAAGACACATATAATTTTGAAGTGACAGGATGAAAAATATTCCATGCAAATAGTAAGCAACAGAGAGCTGAGATCAAGAGGCACTATGAGACAAAATAAACTTTCAGTCAAAATCTGTCACAAGAGAGAAAGATGGCCATTATTGTCTTAGTCTGGGTTTTCCAGAGAAGTAAATTCAGTAAAGCATATAAATATCTATATAGAGATTTATATCAAGGAAATGCCTCACACAGTTGTAGAGGCTGTAACGTTCCAAGTCCATGAGTCAGGAAAGAGGCTTCTCCTGATTCACGTAGCCGCAGGGGCTGGTGAACCCAAGATCAGCAGGCTGGAGAGCATGGTTGTTGCTCACAGGCTGTAAAGATCAAAGAATCCCAAGATGGGCAGGCAAGCTCAAAGGTAAACTGCTAGCTCAAGTCCCAAGAATCAGAGGTCAGACAAACGGGAGCCAGCTGCAGGATCCAAAATGAACAAAAGCCCCCAAGCCCTTCCTGAACGTCTGCCCACACTCGATGCAGGCCACATGCCCAAGGAAACTCTCCTTCAACAGACTGGCTACTCGCAGCAGATCTCATCATGGGGGTGATTATATATTAAATCTCAACAGGGAAGTGATCACAACATTATACAACAGCCAAAACACTGAGAATCATGGCCCAGCCAAGTTGACACACAATCTTTACCATCACAATTAAATAATGTTAAAAGAGGCAATTTAACAACAAGATATAACTATTACAAATACGTATACACCTAACAATAAAAACTAAAAACCAAACCCATTTCTGTAGAGTTGATTCTGACTCATAGCGATCCCATAGGACAAAGTAGAACTGTTTCAAAGTGTTTCCAAGCAGCGGCTAGTGGATTTGAACTGCCTACCTTTTGGTTAGCCACTGAGCATCTACCAATGGAGCCGCAAAATATATTAAACAAACATTGACAGATTTGAAGGAAGAAGCACAAAATTCTACAGTATTAGTTGGAAACTGCAATACACCACTAATAATAGACAGAACATCTAGAAAGAAGACCAATAAGGAAATAGAGGACTGGAATAACACTATAAAACAAGAACAATAAATAGATATGTATAGAACTTTGCACCCCAAAACAGCAGAATACACATTCTTCTTCATTGTACATGGATCCTTCTCTAAGATGGACCATGTGTTAGATCACAAAACAAGTCTCAAGAAATTTAAAAATATTGAAATCATACAAAGAATCTTCTCTGATCAAAATGGAATGAATCCAGAAATCAGTAACATAAGAAAAATGAGAAAATTCACAAATATGTGGAAATTAAACAACGGGTCAAAAAAGAAATCACAAGGGATATTAGAAAATACTTACAGACAAATGAAAATATACAACATAACAAAACTTACGGGATGCTGCGCTCAGAGAGAAATTTAGAGCTGTAAATGCCTACATTAAAAAAAAAGATCTCAAATCAGTAACCTTTCACCTTAAAGAACTAGATAAAGAGAAAAACTCTAAGCTAGCAGAAGGAAAGAAATAATAAAGATTAAAGCAGAGATAAATGAAATAAAGAATAGAAAAACAATATGAAAAATTAACAAAACCAGAAGTTAATTCTTTGAAAAAGATCAATAAATTTACAAACCTAAACTATACTGACATAACGAGAGAGAGAAACCCAAATAACTAAAATTACAAATGAACGTGGGAATATTACTATGAATGATTGTACACCAACAAATTAGATAACATAGATGAAATTAATAAATTCCTAAAAACACACAATTTACCTAAGTTGAATCAAGAAGAAATAGAAAATCACAAGAGACAAGAAGTGATGATATTGAGTCAGTAATCAAAAACCTCCCAACCAAGAAAAGTTCAGAACCAGATGGCTTCACTCTTCACTGGTGAGGTCTAGCAATAATTTCATGAAGAATTCACCCAAATCCTTCTCAAACTACTCCAAAAATATTGGAGAAGAGAATTCTTACAAACTCTTTCTATGAGCCAGAATTATCCTGATATCAAAACCTTGTAAAGACGACACACACAAAAAAATTGTAAATTAATATCTCTTGAAAATATAGATAAAACGGCCCAGGTGGGCACATGAAGGGCCCATAGTTTAAGGCATACCCCACCTACCTTTTGAACGAGGCCCTGAATGAGAAACAGAACCCCTAAGAGAGGGCAAGTCCCAGGCCTGGGGAGGTCATGTGTCCATGGTGTGAAGGCCTGGTGTCCAGGTTGTCTAAAGCCACAGGGAAAATGGTGGAAAATTCACAGTCACCATTCCCAGAAGGAGTGATTTATGGCCATCTTAGGCTGGATTCTCTAGAGAAGCAAAACCAGTAAAGTGTATATATGTGTGTTTTACATATGTATATGTAAGTATATACAGAGAGAGAAAGAGAGAGATATATTTATTTCAAGGAAATGGCTCACTTGGTTGTAGAGGCTGTTAAGTCCCAAGTCCATGGGTTAGGCATCAGGCTGGAAGATTCTCCTGACTCATACAGCTGCAGGGGCTGACAAACTCAAGATCCACAGGTCAGACAAAAGTTGGCTGGCTCACTGCTGTGAAGGCTGAAGAATCCGAGATAGGCAGATAAGACAGCAGGCTGCTGACCAAGGTCCCAAGAACTGGAGGAAAGGTGCTGACCAGCTGAATGCAGGATCCAGAGCAGAGCAAAAGCCAGTAAGCTTTGCCAGAAAGTCTACATATATTGGATGTAGGCCATAATCCCGAGGAAACTCCCTTTCAACTGATTGCCTACTCATAGCTGGTTTCATCATGGAGGTGATTACATCATTACACAACTGCCGAACTACATCGTAACTGACAAACTACTGAGAATCAAGGCCAAGCCAAGTTGACACACAACCTTAACCATCACAAGACACCCCTTATCAACTTGGCACCTGTACACATCTCCTTAAACCACATATAACTTCCGAATGAAGAAAATTATAAATACCTGCACCTAACATGATACAGCTAACACATTTCAAACCGAAAATGCACTAGCCCTGTTTACATCTTATATTTTATAAGTGAAGAAAACAAAAATATTTGATGCACACATACGAGGCAGAAGTACTCATAAAAATTACAGCCTTTGTTTCTGCAACTGGTCACATGGTCATAACTGGTATTTAGAACTGCCTTCTTCCACCACCCATTCTGTATTCCCTTTGCCCTCAGCAAGTACCTCAGCTGGTCGTGGTTCTTTGCCTGGTGGGGTGACCCTAACCTTCATTCTTTAAGGGTCTGGGCCATTATTAGTGGTATCGGGATTGGATTGCTGTAGTTTTACATTGAATTTAATCAGAGGGCATAGTAGTACTAAGAGACGCCCTATGGGATCTCCTGCATTCCAGACACACTGTTATTTACTTCCATTATGTAATATCAATCCAATTTCCTTTTGGTAATCAGGATCAATCACATCAGCCAATATGGTTACTCCCTTCTTCACCTGTTGATCCAGAGGCATAAGGATCCCAAAGTGGCTAGGTGACATTCTTAACTTCCAGTTCAATGGAATCAGGGATTTGTCTCCAGGAGGGAGCATTCCTCTCTTTGGAACTAAGACCTCTAGACCCACAAAGCATAGATTCATGGGTACAGGAAGTAAAAAATTTGAGAGTGGGTCATTAGGGGTCATATTGAGTGGTGCCACTCCCATCTCCACCCCTTGATTCCTGGACCCATGAATCCTGGCTATGGGAGAAACAGCACCATATACTGCACGCTGGTTTAGAGCATATACAGCCTCCTGGAGAACATTGTCCCAACCCTGCAAGCTACTGACACCTAGCTGGTGCAGTAAATGTGTCTTTAGAAGACCATTCCATTGTTCTATCAAGCCAGCTGCTTCAGGATGATGGAGAACATGGTAAGATCAGTGAATTTCATGAGCATGGGTCCATTGCCACACTTCATTTGCCATGAAGTGAGTCCCTTGATCCAAGGTGATGTTGCGTGGGATACCATGACAGTGGATAAAGCATTCTGTAAGTCCAGGATGGCAGTTTTGGAAAAAATATTGCATGCAGGGAAGGAAAATCCATATACAGAGTGTCTATTCCAGGAAGAACAAAACACTGCCCTTTCCATGATGGAAGCAGGCCAATGTGATCAACCAGCCATCAGGTTCCTGACTGATCACCTCGAAGAATAGTGTCATATCGGGGATTCAGTGTTGTTCTCTGCTCCTGGAAGATTGGTACGCAGCAGTTCCTGTAGCCAAGTCTGCCTTGGTGAATGGAAGTCCATGTGGCTGAGCCCATACATAACCTCAATCCCTGCCACCATGTCCACTTTGTTCATCAGCTCATTGGGCAATGATGAGAGTGCCTGGGGAAAGAGGATGACTGGTTTCCACAGAATGCATCATCCTATCCACTTGATTGTTAAAATTCTCCTCTGTTGAGGTAACCCTTTGGTGAGCATTCACATGAGACACAAATATCTTCACTTCTTTGGCCCATTCAGAGAGATCTATTCACATACTTCTTCCCCATACCTCCTTGTCTCCAGTTTTTTAATCACATTCTTTCCAAGTCCCTGATCATCCAGCCAAACCATTGGCCACAGCCCATGAATCAGTATACAGTCACATATCTGGCCATTTCTCCATCCAAACAAAGTGAACAACAAGGTGCACAGCTCAAAGATCTGCCCATTGGGAGGATTTCCCTTCACCACTGTCCTTCAGGGAGGTCCAAGAAAGGGGCTGTAGTGCTGCTGCTGTCCACTTACGAATGGTGCCTGCATATAGCACAGAACCATCTGTAAATCAGGCATGAGTTTTCTCTTCCTCAGTCAACTGATCATAAGGAACTACCCATGAGACCATAGGTGGAGACTGGGAAATGGAAGGTAATGTGACAGGAGTGGAGACCATGGGATTTTGGGTCACTTCCTTGTGTGCAACTTACTTGTTCCTTCAGGACCTGCTTCAGGACCACTTCCATTTAATGATGGATGCCGCTGTGCATGTCCAATTTTATGGCTCTGTAAGTCACACAACTTGCAGTTCATGACGGGCATCTCAGGCCACATGATGACTTGGTGGACCATGGTTAAGCATTCAGTCTCTCCTGGGGCCCAGCAACAAGCCAAATGCTATTTCTCAAAAAGAGAGTAGTTTTCTGCAGAGGATGGCAGGGCTTTGCTCCAAAATCCTAAGGGCCTGTGATGTGGTTCACCAAAGCCTGCCAAAGACTCCAAACAGCATTTCTATCTGTCACTGACACTTCAAGCACCATTGGATCAGCTGGATCAAAATGCCCAAGGGGCAGAGCCATTTTCACAGCAGCCTGAACCTCTTGTAGAACCTCCTCTTGTTGTGGACCCCACTCAAACCTAGCAGCTTTTCAACTCATTTAGTAAATAGAAACCCAAATGAGGGATATGTTGCCTCCAAAATCCAAAGGGGCCCACTAGGTGTTGTGCCACATTTTTTGTTGTGGGATGGCCAAATGCAATAACTTATCCTTTACTTTAGAAGGAATATCTCAACATGCCCAAACCACTGGACCCCTGGAAAATTCACTGAGGTGGAAGATGCCTGAATTTTTGTTGGATTAATTTCCCACCCTCTAGCATGCAAATGCTTTGCCAATAAGTCCAGAGACTCATTGATGCTTCTTCCTTACTAGCTCCAATCAACATTATGTCATTAATGTAATGGACCAGCGTGACGTCTTGTGGAAGGGAAAGGTGATCAAGGTCCCTGCGGACTAAATTATGACATAGGGCTTGAAAGTCGATATACTGCTGAGGTAGGACACTGAAGGTGTGTTGCCAGCCTTGCCAACTGACGGAAAACTGCTTCTGTGGTCCCTTGAGACAGGTATGGAGAAAAAGGAATTAGCCAGATCAATAGCTGCATATCAGGTACCAGGAGAGTGTTAATTTGCTCAAGCAATGAAACTACATCTGGAACAGTAGCTGCAATTGGAGTCACCACCTGGTTAAGTTTTCAATAATCTACTGTCATTCTCCAAGATTCATCTTTTTTTTGCACAGGACAAACAGGCGAGTTGAATGGAGATGTGGTGGGAATCACCTCCTTTACCTCTTTCAAGTCCTTAATGGTGGCAGTAGTCTCTGCAATCCCTCCAGGAATGTGATACTGCTTTTGATTTATTATTTTTCTTGTGTACGGGCAGTTATAACGGCTTCCACTTTGCTTTTCCTACCATAATACTCCTTATTCCACTTGTCAGGGATCCAAGGTGGGGGTTCTCCCAGATGCTGAGTATGTATATTCCAATTATGCATTCTTGAACTGGGGAAATCACTACAGGATGTGTTTGGGGACACACTGGATCTCCTGTGAGATGGACATGAGCTAAGACTCCATTAATAACCTGACCTCCATATGCCCTCACTCTGACTGGTGGGCCACAGTGACATTTTGGGTCTCCTGGAGTTAGTGTCAGTACAGAGCCAGTATCCAGTAATCTCTAAAAAATTTGATTATTTCCTTTTCCACAATGAACAGTGACTCTCGTAAAAGGCTGTAGATCACTTTGGGGAAGGCTGGGAGAAAGATTAACAGTAAAAATTTTTGAGAGTGTAATGGGGCCCTTGCTCAAGGGGACTCAGCCACCCTTTCATTCAAAACATTATGAGTCTGTAAGCTAGCTCAAGTCTGGGAATGATTGAGGGGCCGTGACTCTATATTCTGACGATTCGACTTAGGGTACTGTTTACTTGACCTAGAATTCTTCTACTTGTACAAATCAAGTAAATATTTACTAGATTTTCTATATATTTTACTTCTAGGTACACCATGAATAAGTAGCCAATGCCATAAGTCCTAATGAGTCAGACTGTTCTGATTACTGCTTTAACTCCATTATGGTAACCACGCCCAACTTGCCTTTGTTGATTGAGTATCACCACTTGGCCTCTGCCATTCAGAATGTCCTATCAGCCGCATTGTAGTTAGATGTCTTAATTTGGTTAAGACAGTTCCCGCTGCCAAATCTGACTTACATAAAATAGCAATCATAGCAATCTTTAAGGATGCTGGGAGTCCCTTCGCAAATTTGTTCCTCATTCTTGTGGTAAAAGATGTGTCCTCCGGGCACTTTGTGTGTGGGTCTGTGAGTGTAACCTGATAAATCTACCTTAGCATGCCTATTTCCCTACACCTTTGGATACTTTATTCTACAGTATACCAAGGCAGGTCTGACACTTCAACTTGATTTAGTGTAGGCCACCAGGTAATCCATGCTTCAGCCACCCAACCAAATAAATGATCATATCCTTTCCTAACCTCTCAAGCTGAAACACTGAATGAAGAATCTCTGGTTAGTGGGCTCATATCAATAAATTTAGACAGACCCATTTTTATGTTCCTTGCACCATTACCCCACACTCTCTATAGCCATTCCCACACATATTCCCCAGGTTTCTGTTTGTACATATTGGAAAAGTCAAGCAGTTATTTTTGGAGTGTAGTGTACCTCCTACTGGGTCACACTTTGTACTTCACCTTTTGGGTCTCGCTGGGACTTAAGTCTAGTTATAGGTTTAGAAGCCAAAATGGGTGACAGAGATGTGTTTTGAGAACATTGAGCATTGTCTTGTAAGGCATTTGTCTGAGGCAATGCCCCAGGCAATGACTCAGCCTTCTCCCCTGGGTATGACTCAGATACTTCCCCAGGCAATATCTCAGACAGAGGCTCTTCAGACACATCTAGGTTAGTGGCTTTGTTGGCAGGACTGATTCAATAGAATTTAGGTGCTCAGTGTCTCCAGTTGTGATTATCTGCCCATATGTTCCCATCCCATATTTCAGGATCCCACTTCTTCCCAATCAATGCCCTCACTTTAACTTCAGACACCACTCGAGTTTGGGAATTCAACTGGCGTTATAATTCAGCCACTCTTATAATAAGACTCTGGATTTTGTTTTTGTCAGCATCGGCTCTGTTACTACAAGAAATAAGGCTTTCTTTCAGGACAAAATTGGCAACTTTGAGGTTGTTTATTTGGCACTTGAGCCTTGACTCTGAAAACTTGACCTCATCTCTTTCTTTCACCACTTTGTCTAGCAAAAGTAGTACCAACCAACATGCTTCCTTATACTTCTCATTATGACAGAATTGTAGAAACGTATCAAACATGTAATCTTCCAGAGCCTTGTCTCTCACCAGTACCTGATCTACTGGTAGTGATATTTTGTGTATTTCTATTGCCACCTGATGTCATGGATTAGCAGTGCCCTCTTTAATACTGGAAGCAGAGTCATCAACATGTTTAAGATTAACCAGACTTGAAAACCAATTTAGAACACTCATCCTTACAATTTTTTTTTCTCTAGAACCACTCTCGGTACCAAACGTCTTTGGCTGGGTTCTCTCGAGAAACAAAACCAGTGAAGCATACATATACGTGTGTGTGTGCGCATGCATGTGTCCACATGTGTATGTATGTGTACACACATAGATTTATCTCAAAGAAATGGCTCACGTGGTTGTAGAGGCTAGCAATTCCTGAGTTTGTGGGTCAGGTGTCAGGCATCAGTCTGGAGGCTTCTCCTGACTCACACAGCTGCAAGAGCTGACAAACTCAAGATCCACAGGTCAGATGGCTGTCTGCTGGCTCACAGCTATGAAGGCTGACAAATCCAAGATCAGGTAAGATGGCAGAGTGCTCACCCAAGTCCCCAGAATTGGAGGAAAGGTGCTGATGATCCAAATGCAGGATCCAGAGCAGAGCAAAAGCCAATGAGCTTTGCCAGAAAGTCCACATATATTGGATGCAGGCCACACCCCTAAGGAAACTCCCTTTCAACTGATTGCCTACTCATAGCAGATCTTATCATGGAGGTGATTACACCATTATATGACTGCCAACTACAACATAACTTCCAAACCACTGAGAATCATGGAGCAGACAAGTTGACATTCAACCTTAACGATCACAATGTTTTGTTATTTTCTTAAGTGCCAAGTTTGTCTCCATACTATATCTTGTATGGACTTTTATTCCTGAGTCTTGGCTAATCTGCTTAGGTTTAATCTACTTGCCTCAAAAATATTGGGCTGTCATATTACCTGTCTACCTCTTTATTACTATAGTAATCAGTAATGTACTCTTATTTTTAATTAACATGATGACCACCTCTCCACTTGATCCCATTCACACAATCACAGATAACTATGCTAAAAACCAACAGCAGAAGAAATATCAAGAAGAAGCCATTGCAACATTAAGAGATATTCCTATTAGTGAAGTAAACCAAATGTTCTTTCTTGCAGCCAAAGAACTTTACACCAAAAACTGAACACCAAGGGTTTACTTATACATTTTTGACATAATCGTTTTGACCATTATTTTAATAATCTGTCTTATCAATACCCAGTATTGAGATGAAATAAAAGTAAATTTATCTTCTTTTAGATTTTTATGTTCCATTAATATTGTAAATGTTCTTAAATATTACTAGTGAACAGAATAAATAAAATACTTCATTCCCATAAAACTATAGGTAAAAAATCCTCAAAAAAGACTAGAAAACCAAGTTCAACAGCATATTAATAAGATTAGACACGATGTCCAGGTTGAATTTATGTCAGGAATGCAAGGGTGAATTAAAACAAGAAAACCAATCAGTGTAATACACCACATTAACAAAACAAAAGAAAAATAACAAATGATTGTCTCAATTAACACAGAAAAAGCATTGGAAAAAATCCAACACTATTTAATGATAAAAGCACTGAACAAACTAGGAATAGTACGGAAAATCTTTAACAGGGTAATGGGCATTTATGAAAACCCCACAGTTAGCATCATAGTCAATGGTGAAAGAATGAAACCTCTCCCTCTAAGACCAGGAACAGGAAAAGCATGACCGCTTTCACCACTGCTATTCAACATCGTACTGGAAGAGTAACCAGACCAATTAGGCAAGAAAAAGAAATAAAAAGTATCCAGTTTGGAAAGGAAAAAGTAAATCTATATTTACAAATGCAATGGTTTTATATATAAAAAATCACAAAGAATCCACAAAAAAACTACAAGGACTAATAATGAAATTCAGCAAAGTCTGCAGGGTACAAAAGCAAACTCAAAAATTAGTTGTGCTTCTGTACACCAGCAATGAACCATCTGAAAAAGGAATTAAGAAAACAATTCAAGATAGCATCTTAAAGAATGAAATACCTAGGAATTAATTTAACCAAATAGGTAAAGGACTTGTACAGTGAAACTTATAAAAAATTCTGAAAGAAATTAATTACACTGATACCAAAAGCAGAAAAAGACACCACAAGAACAGAAAACTACAGATTAACATCCTTAGATGCAAAAATGGTAGCAAACCAAATCCAAAAACATATTAAAAGAATTACACGCCATGATCAAGTGGGATTTATCCCAGGAATACTAAGTTGGTTCAACATCAGAAAATCAATCAGCATAATACACCACATTAATAGAAAAAAAAAAGAACAATGTGATCATCTCAATCAATGCAGAGAAGACATTTCATAATATTCATGATAAAATACTCAACAAGATAGGAAATTCCCAAATATAATAAAGAACAAATATGAGAAATTCGCAGCTAAAATCATACTCCATGGAGAGACTGAGAACTTTCCCTTTAAGATCAGAAACAAGACAAGAATACCCACTCTCACCACTGTTGTACATCATCATTCTGGAAGTCCTAGCCAGAGCAATTAGGATAGAAAAAGAAAATAAAAGGCATCCAAATCAGGAAAGAAGTAAAGTTATTCCTTTTCACAAATGACATGATCCTATACATAGAAACCCCAAAGTTATTAGAAGAAGCTATTAGAACTAATAAATAAATTCAGCAAAGGGGCAAAGTACAAAGTCAATACATAAAAATCAATTGGATTTAACATCAGCAATGAGCAATTGGAAAAGGTAATTAAGGAAATAATACTATTTACAATAGTATCTAAAATAATGAAGTATCTAGGAATAAATTTGACTATGAAGGTGAAAGACTTGTGCACAGAAAACTATAAAACATTAGTTAAAGAAATTAAAGGAGATCTAAATAAATGGAAGAACATCCTATGTTTCTGAACTGAAAGCCTTAATATAGTTATGATGTCAACACTACCCAAAGCAATCTATAAATTCAACGCAATACCCTTCTAAATTCCAACTGCTTACTTTGCAGAAATAGAAAAGCCAATCTTCAAATTTATATGGAAAGGCAACAGACCTCAAATAGCTAAAGCAACCTTGAAGAAAGAGAATAAAGCAGGAAGACTCTCACTTTTGGATTTCAAAACATACTACAAAGTTACAATAATTAAAACAGCCTGGTTTTGTACAGTAATAGAAATATAGATAATTTGAATAGAATACAGAGTCCAGAAATAAATCCTTACATCTAACTGATTTTTGACAAGGGTGGTAAGTCCATTCAAGAAGGAAGAAGGAAGAGTCTCTTCAATAAATGGTGCTAGGAAAATTGGATTTCCACATGCAGAAGAATGAATCAGGATTGATGCCTCATACTATCCACAAAAAAACAATTCAAAATGGATCAAGGACCTAAATGTTAAAACTAAAACCATTAAACTGTTAGAGAAAATGTAGGAGTGAGGCTTTGGGAACTAGTTTTTAATGGTGGACTATCAAAATATGACAACAAAAGCATGAGCAGCAAAAAACAAAATAAATGGGACCTCATAGAATTGTTCATCAAAGGACTTTATCAAAAAAGTGAAAAAACAACCTACCAAAAGAGAGAAAAATTTAGGGAACCATATGTCAGACAAGGTTTTTTAAAATATCTAAAAAACATCTACAACTTAACAACAAAAAGGCAACTCAATCAAAACATGGGTAAAGGACTTGAACAAACAATTCAACAAAGAGGATATTCAAATGGCCAACAAGGACATGAAAAGATGCTCAACACCATTAGCCATTAGGGAGATTCAAATAAAGACCACAGTGAGCTACCATCTCATCCCCATTAGAATGGCAATAAAACAAACAAACAAAAAATCCCATTGTTGTCGATTCCAACTCATAGCGACCCTATAGGACAGAGTAAAACTGCCCCATAGGGTTTCCAAGGAGCGGCTGGTGGATTCGAACTGCTGACCTTTTGGTTAGCAATCCAGCTCTTAACCACTTAGGGGCCCTGGTGGTGGAGAGGTTAAGCGTTTGGCTGCTAAGCAAAAGGTCAGCAGTTCGAATCCACCAGCCACTCCTTGAACACCCTATGGGGCAGTTTTACTCTGTCTTCTAGGGTCACTATGAGTAGAAATAAACTCAGCGGCAATGGTTTTTAAAATGGCAATAGTCAAAAAAAAAAAAAAAAAAAAA